CCCCCCTCGGCCGCCGGTTTGGGATCTCCCTGCTTCCCCCCCACCCCCCGCCGCCGCAAGATCCCACATAATATAGTGGTAAAGCCCCGCTCCCTCGCTCCTCTCCCTCTCGGAGTTTTTCCCCCCTTTCTTTCTCTCTCTCTCTCTCCCCCTTTTTTTTTTAATAATATTATTCTAAGCTGGCATGAAAAGTGATTATCCGCGCTGTGATTGGTCCGGTTATCTGACCCGGGGACTGCCAGGAGAAGACAATAGTTTTAGTCAAATTATTTGCCATGGTGACGCTGTCAATCAGGGGTAACCCGATCTGTTTTGAGGTGGCTCCCCGGCTGGGTTGACAGATTGCTCAGATCCACTCAGAGGCGGCCCTGCGAGCTGAGATATTAGCTAGCGAGGGAGAAATTTCCGCCGTGATTGACGCTGCAGGCGCCCATCGGGGGAGAGGGGCAGCGCCGAGCCCGGGCCCCTGCCTCTCGCCGCAGGGCGCTACCGGACGGAGCCGCCGCCCCGTCCGGGTCCCGCCGCACCGTCTGGATCCCGCTGTCCCATCCCGGCCCCACTGCCCGGTCCGGGCCCCGCAGCCCCATCCCGGCCCCGCCGCTCCGAACCGCGGGCTCTGCCGTCCCCCGGCCCCCGCGGGCGGCGGCGGGGAGAAAAACCCGGCTCCGGCCTTTGCGGAAAGTTTCTTTCTAAATGCCTTGGCTTAACCCCCGCTCCCCAGCGCCCGGTAACAACTGCCGGAGAGTTTTATAGGGAAGGGGCCTCTCGTGTACAATAGAGACCCTGTTCGTGACCCGGGATCCCATTACACGCTGATGGTACCTGCCTGGGAGCCAGGAGGAGGCACGATGATACGGGACCGGGGAAGGATTGCCTCTCCATTACCCGCCGGCCGTGCCCCACCACCCGCCCTGCTCAGGGCGCTGGCATTTCTGAGCGCTGGACGCTGGCCATTTATTTCTACTTGATTTCTAGGAGCGTGTCGGGGGTTTTCATCCAGGAGGGGCACACGTGTAAAAAGTCAGAGACACTTCTCGTCATTAAGCGGACCCTTATCACCCACGCGTGCCCCTTAGACACACGCATTTTCAGTTTACTGACTGTGCAGGGCAGACACCCGTATCCTTTCCTGTCCCCTTGCTTCTCCACGAAGTGAAAGGCGAGGGAGAGAGGTTGTGCAAGCTGGAAGGAAGGTCGGGGGAGGATGAGGGGGTGAGAGAAGCGAACGAGGGGACCTCCGGGGCGGCGGCGGGTGCCGGGGCTCGCCCAGGTGAAGGCGCCCGGGAGGAGCCTCCTGACCCCAAACCCAGGGCAGTTTCCATGGCCTTTAATGTGTGTCCCCCCCTTTTTTTTTTAATTTTTTTTTTTTTTTTTTTTTTTTTTTTTTTTTTGCGGTGAAATAATAATTAATCCCACAAGCTCTTTCTACGCCATTTGCAGCCCTGACAGAGGAGGTCTCTGCAATTGTGGGTTTCTGCCACGGTACCTTTTTAGCCGCCTCGGCGCGTCAGGGATTTAGCGATGGCACCGGAGACGGGGCTGCGGGGTCCCACCCCCGCGCCTCGCAGCCTGACCCTCCGCGGCCCATGGACCGAGCCTCCCTGCCCGTCCAGGACAAGGCGAGGCCAGGGCGGCGGTAACCGGCCCGGTGGCTCCCGGCGAGGAGCCGGGCTAGGACTGCGGCCAGGCGAAACACGGCGGGGGCAGGAGGAGGAGGGCGGGGGGGGGCAGCGGATCAGCCCGCTCCAGCTCCCAGCCTGTCCGGGCGCCCGTGCGTATAAACCGCGTTATCTCTGAATTTTCCCGAGCGTACTCCGCTTTGGAAGCTGCACGTCCTCCTACCTGTCCGGGCTTTTTCCCGAGTGCTGCCATGAAGAAGCAGTGGAGAGCGTCCGCCCTGGATCCCCCGGGGACGCAAAAATAGCGGCTTCCTTTGCAGGGCAAACGAGAGACAGCTCAAATTCGTTTAAAACAAATTCAGGGTTGTTAGTGACGGGTCCGTAAAGCCCCCTTGCATGATTATCCCTCCCTCCCTTTACAAAATGAACTCTCGGCCGCTTAGTGCCTTGACGCCGGCCGACTTCTGCAGGATTCAAACTGTGCTTGTTTGTAAACGAAAGCATCCCGATCTCAGCGCTCCCTACCCGACCTCAGCGGCGGGATAGTTCACAGCTGAAGCGGACGGGCACGGGACGGGAGAACCGGTCCCCTGCAAACGTTACTCTGAGCAGAAACGGCAAGAGAGGCACAAATCCCCTCTCCCACCCTGCACCTCCGGGTGCCTTTCGCGGGGGAGAATATAGCCCCGTTCCGCTCCCTCCCGCCATGGGCATCGTGACAATAAAGAAAAGCGCTAGAGAAGTCTAAGCTGTCCCCCTTTCCCCCCGCCTCCTTGCCACCGCGCTCGGTCGCCCCACGTTTATTATGGATATACCTGACTCCGCTTCCTCTCCCTCCATCTCACAACCACAGCGGTTTAATCTGAACGGGAGCAGCTGTTCGCCCTAGCCGGAAAGGAGGTGTCAAAACCTGTTGCATGGATTTAGATCTGAGAAAGTCTCTTCTTAGCACCCTAAAATGTGAGTACAGAATCTGCACACCAGCCCCTCCCTGGGCGCTTTCACTTTAGGCTGCCTTAGCCCGGCTGCAGTCTGAATTGTAACGCTACTGCGCTTCCCAAAGCGCTGGGCAGAGGCAGGGCTACCCCCTTCCCGAGCACCCTGTATCAGCTTGCGTCCCAGAGCAATTGCAAATTAGTGACATCTGGATCCAAATTCTGTGTAACTGCTTTTAACTTTCGGGGAGGAAAAAAAAAAAAATATATATATCTTCCTATATGCTCTAGAAGAGAGAGCAGATTCTGGCCGCGGAGCCGCGGCACGGGGCGAGTCAAGTTGCAGTGACTTGGGATGGAGTCAGACGGTCGGGCGAGGAGGGTTTTTTTGTTTCAGCGTTTGCGAAAGAGCTCGTTCGTTGCAATTATATTTCGGAGCGGGCGGCGCGGCTCGCTGGCTAACGTTTGCCCCCGGTCCGACGCGGACATTTTGCCTGGCCGCCGCCGGCTTCCTCCGCTCGGCCGCGGTGAGAGGCTTGATCTGGGCCCGCAGAAACTTTTGCCTAGCCCCGGTGCCGCCCGGCGGAGAAGCCCAGGGTTTCATCCCGGCCTCGGCCCCCGTCCCGGGTGGGACTTTGCCGAGGCCCCACTCGGGAAGCGCCTCTCCCCTCCGCGCAGTCACTGCCGCGCACGAAGCAGCGCGCCAGACCGTCGGTGTCAACACAATAACTGCGAAATACGAGCGAAATAAAAAAGTCGTTTTTATCGTAACGCTCTTTTTGTTAACCGGGGCGCAGACAGGCCGAGGGAAGGAGGGGGAGGTGGGGCGGCCGTGTCGCTTCCTAGGAGCCTTTCGTTGCACGTAACGATTCGTGTCCACAAGCGAGTGCCAAGAAGCGCTGCAGTTATCTGCAGATCTCCCTCCCGGCCGTGCCCCCACCGGCCCCTTGCAGACAGCAGCCTGCGTGGGAGGCTGCAGGCCCGCACCGCTCCCCTTCAAGACAGGAACCCGTTCACCCCAAGTCCTGCCTTGCATCTTTCCGCGGGCCCCTACGGCCACTGTCCCTACGGCCCCCCGCATCCGCTGTACCGGGGGGCCAGCGCCGCTCGCTGGGCTGGGGACACCCCCCGCCGGAGAGCAGGGGGGCAGAGGGACGGGGACCCACCGCCCTTCACCCGCTCGCACAAGGCTGCCAGCCGGCCTGGGGTCCCCGCCTGGGAAGGGCAGGGGGACGGAGGCTCCCCGAAGGGCTCTTTTATCGGCAGGAGTAGCCGAGAAATGATAACCACCGCCAACTTCACACGCCAGAAAGAAACACATCTTTCCCGCAGATGTCCACTGCTGTGGCAAGGACTGTAGGGAGAGAGAGGCAAATGACAAGGAACTCCAAGTTTTCGTTTCTTTATTTCCTTTTATAGTTTCTTTTTTTTCCCCCTTTTCTTTCGACGGGAGGGCAATGTGCTTTCTCCTTAAAACCAGTGCTCTTTAAAGTGGGCGAAAACGTACCACAATTAACCTGCTACTCCCAAATAGCTTTTTTATTCATCGTAGCGGCCTTTGCTAGGATCCCAGGCTTACCTACCCCCCACCCTCCAACCCGGGGGGGGGGGACCTCAGCGGGTTTCCCAGAGCACCCTGAGCTCACCCTGGGGGGACCCGGCCCCTTCAGGGGGTCTATGCTCGCCCGGGAGTCACGGAGGCAGTTTGCAACCCGAAACCGCGGATTGTCGTCGTCCCCGTCCCCCTGTGTCGTGGGGTCCGTCCCCTGTCCCCCGTCCCCCCCTCCCTTATTTATACACGCTTATATTTAATTTTGCCTTTTGTTTAAAACCCGGCTCTAGCCCATCACAGATGGCACTAAGATCCTGCCCCGACTGAAAAAGAAAACAAGACGGAAGATCACTGCGCGTAACTAAATTAAGGCAAACAACAATAGCTTGTTGTTCCATGATTTGGGGCGAAAGGAATAATTCAAAGCTTTTGCTGCGCGCAACGCGCTGTTCCTCAAGGGGACCGGCCAAGGATTTCAGATATGTAGCGGGTAACTCGATTATGCTAACAAACTCGCTTGAAAGAGAAGGTTGTTGGGCTGGGGGGCGGGGAAGCGGGGTGCTGGGGGCCGGCGGGGGGGCCGAGCCCCTGCCCCGGGGGGCAGCTCCGCTCCCCGCGCCCCCCAGCTCCCCCCGTCCCCTCCCGT